GGCCGGGCGGGCGCAGCGCGGGCGGACGGATACGGGCGCCGCGGCCGGGCCCCTCCGCGCTGGGCCTACTTTCCGGGCCGTGGCGGCGCGGGGGCGGCGGCGCGGGCGGCGGCTTCCTCCTCCTCCTCCCGAGTTCCTGTCGGCTCCGGGCTCCTCAGAGTCTCAGGCTCGCCTCACCGGCCTCCTGCGTCCCGCTCCTCCGTGCCTCTCTCAGCCCCCCGCCCTCCATGTCGCCCGCTCGGCGTCGCCAGCCGCCGCGTCCCCTCCCTCCATGTCTCCCCGTCCCTTCCGCCGTCCCCTGTCCGCTCGGCCATCCTCCGCACAGGCCCGAGGGAGGGCCGGCTCTTCCGGTGTATCCGGGGTTCCGTGCCTCCGGGGGGACCCCGTCCCGGCGGGCCCCGAGGCCTGGGGGACCTCGGGGAGGGCGCAAGTAGGCGCTCCTGCGCGCTGTAGATCCCGGGAGGCGCGTCCCTCTGTCGAGGTTTAAGTCTCTCTGGCCGAAATCGGGTGCGCTAACGTGGGTCTCTTTCTTCGGGAAGAAGTGCCCAGTTTTCCAGCGGGCAAAGCGGCGGGGAGATGTCACCCGCACCGTCGCCTCCCCGCAGCCCGGCGCTAAGGGGCCCCTCCTCCAGCGCGAGGAGGAGGAAACAGGCATCCATTGCCACAGCGTTCTTTTGAGCCGGGATGGGGGGTCATCGGGTGGAGAGGCGCAGAGCTCAGCCGTCCGCCCCGGGGTTTAGCCTCGGTCCCCACCTGCCCTGGAGTCCCCGCGCTTCTGCTCCGGCCGCAGCCCCGGGCGGTCTGTGCAGTCAAGCTGGCCGGGGAAGGGCCCTGCCTGAGCGCTGGCAAGGCGGCTCCTGTCTGGGACGAGATGGAAGGTGAATCGCCCCAACTTCTATTATGTTTATGTAGCCGGTTGCCGCTTAGTTACTCAGGGTTTGACTGTCGTTGGGGATGAGTGCACTGGGGTTCAAGAGCTGGGATCAGAGAGATCAGGTGCAGACGCCACCCACGGTCAGATCCGGCCTGGACCTACAAAGGACAGTGTTATCACCGGTGCAAGCCTGGGAACAGGACACTCAAAGTAGTAGTTACTCCTTAAGTACTGCTGTTACTCTTGACAGAGTCAACAGGCGTGTCATAGGGCAGTATGCACACTGTTCATGAACCGCAGGAAGCGATTTCACACCATCGTTTCGTGGATTGCTTGGAGCAGTGGTAGCTGGGTGGTAATGTTAGCTGGTAGGAAGATCTGTGCTTAGAATAACACCTCACGGTATTCATTGCTGGCTGATGCCTCACTCCTTGGCCTTGACCATGTTTTCCCAGTTGTGTGTGTTTCTGGTGTTTGTTTTTGTTTACATGCTTTATGCCAGTAATAATGTAAGGTTCAGTGTGGAAGCAGGCTTAGAGAGGAAGAATGTGAAATTTCCATTGAGACAAGAATGAGAATTCATTCCTCTCCCAGCACTCCATGGTTTACCAGCTGGTATCACTGGTCAACAAGGGATAATTCTTTTTCTCTAGTTTTCCAAGACACTTCATAACTATCTTTTACATTTTTTAATCACATTCTTTTTTATTGTGTGTGCTTGTTGGCAAGTTTTGGTTTTGTTTTATACATACCAACTGAGCCATCTCTCCAGCTCTCTGTAGCCCCATAGATAAATTCATAGCTTCATCCTCAGAACTGGGTTTGCAATCCACCATACCTTTCTAAGGTACCCCAGCTCCAGAAGTGGAGTTTTCTTTATTTTTCTTCTTCGAGACAGGGTTTGTCTATGTAGGCTTGACTGTCCGGGACTTGATTTGTAGACCAGGCTGGCCTCAGACTAACAGAGATCTGCCTGCTGGGACCACCACGCCCAATAAGGTGAAGTTTTCAAACTGGGCTCTGCTGTTCCTTTAGTTGTCACTTCTCCTTGTGGATGAATTCCTTGAATGTGATCTAGGACCACACCCTGATTAAAACCTCACTCCTCAAAACCCTTATAGTTCAGTCTTCAGCTCTCTCAACCATGGCTTTGCCACTGTCCCCAATGTTGCCAATTTTTTTTTTTGTTTTGATTTTGATTTCTCTGTGAGATCATCTTTTTTTACTCTCTACCCCAAGTGATGCAGCTTCTTCAGAGAGAGCTTGCTCAGATCTCTGAAGACATAGTCAGGCTTACCATGGGACTGGTTCTTTACTGGTACTTGGGACCCTGAGGGCTCCTTGAGGTGCTTTCAGAAGTATGTAAGAAATATTTTACAGTGTTCAGAGTGTTTGGCTTTTTCACTTGGCTGGCATTTATGTGCTGTAGTCAGATGAAGGCAGTTGTGGGTGTAACTGCAGCCAGCGTAGCACACAGCATTTGGTGGTGAACACACCGATGTGACTGTTGTGTCATGCATCCCAGCCTGGTATTTGGAGGTCAGAAGAGGGCATGGAATTCCTTGGAACTGGAGTTAAGGACATTTGTGAACAACCAGTGTGGATACTGGGGACCAAATCCAGGTCCTGTACAAGAGCAGAAAGTGCTCTTAACCACTGAGCCCTCTCTAGCCCCCTGTTTTGTCTTAAATCAAATTTTGTCAGTCCGTCCATCCGTCTATCTGTCTGTCTGTCACTGTCTGTCTGTCTCACACTGGGTCAGGCTAACCTAGGTCTCAGTGTGTAGTTTACATGGTCTCAAATTCATGGCAATTCTCTTGCCTTTGACTTCCAAGTGTTAGAATTAGGTAGGAACCACCACATTTAATTTAAAAACCAGCTCAGCTTTCTAGGAGGAAGATATTAATAAAATCTGTTTCAACTGCGGGGCTCTGATATTTAAGATGTTTGAGGCCTTTGGCTTCATCAGTCAGTGTCATCTAACAATCTGATGATTTTCCAGTCTTTCGGTCACTACACTAGGATTATCTTTTTTAAACAGTGCCTTGCTCAGTGTAGCCTTAACTGACCCAGAACTCAATGCATGGACTTGGCATGCACTGTCATGCCCAACATGTTATGAACTGTAAGGATCACTCTGAGGGATTTTTGTAGTTTTGGAAAACTGACGCTCTAGAGATTGTGATTTGGAAGGTGTGGCCACCCAGTAGCCTGGAGGCATGAATATTTCTGTCTGCATTGGAATCTAGAGTGCATGTTGTTTTGTTCTGCTTGATAGAGGCGGTACTCTTCTTGTGGGTGGGTAGGTTTGTTCCGCACTAGTTGTGAATACACATTGGGATAGGAGGTGCTGTGCTAGTTGCTGGGGATACAGAGCCAAAACTCTCATGCTTAGGACAGTAAACACACGTAAATGTGGTGTGGCAGCAGGCTGAGTTTCCTAGAGAAAAATCATAGGAAAATTGAAGTCTAAAGAGCCTGGCAGCAGGGCATGGTCCTGCAGTTTGCAATGCCAGCACTTGGGTGGTAGAGACGGTAGGATCAGGGTTCAAGGTCATTCATAGCTACAGAGTAAGTTCCAGGTTAGTTTGGGCTACTTGAAACCTTATCTCTAAAAGCACACACCCAAACAAAAACCAAAAAGAAATGTTGACCCATCCAAAACACCCTTGAAATAAATAAGATTATGGTATATAGGGGAGTCACCTGGCTAGGTGTGGTGCACGCCTTTAGTCCCAGCACTCAGGAGGCCGAAACAGGCAATCTTTAGAACAGCCTGGTCTACAAAGCAAGTTCTACACCAGCCAGAGCTGCAGAGTGAGAGACCCTGTCTTGAGAGGGAAGGAGGAAGGGAAGGAAGTAGAGGAAGAGTGGAGGAGGAGACAGGGTTTCTTTGGGTAGCCTGTCTGTCCTGTAGTTAAGGCTGGCTTCGGAGATTTGCCCTCTTCTGTCTACTGAGTTGCTGGGATTAAAGGCTGGCACCAGTACCACCTGGCTACATTTGGAACTTTTTTCCTCCCAAGACTTACTTATTTTCATTGGTGTTTTACTTGCATGTATGTCAAGGTGAAGGTGCCAGACCCCTGGAACTGGAACTACAGGTCGTTGTGAGCTGCCGTGATGGTTGCTGGGAACTGAACTCAGGACCTTTGGAAGAACAGCCAGTGTTCTAACCTCTGAGCCATCTCTCCAGCCATCATTTGGAACTTCTAAACTTGCCTTTTTTGTGTTACTGAATGTAGTTCAGTTGTCAGAAGACATACGTGACCGCTTCAATCATTTGGATTTGAGCCATATTTGCTGAGCAGTTCACTTGTATCATCGTAATGCTCAAGAACTCGGGAAAGTGTTAATTTTCTCTCATTTATGTGTGGCCATTCTAATGAGTAGTTCTCATATTGTCTTGATTTCCATTTCCTTAATGATTAATGGTGTTAAACATCACTGTAGACTTTTTGCTTATGCCAGAAGATGCCTTAAGAAAGAAGGGCTTGTTGGATTCACCTCAAGTGGCTGAGGTGCCTGTTTAACATACCAGAGTGGACCTGGGCTCCAAGTTCTCCCAGCATCCCTCAGTCCCTACAGTTCCAGGGCATGGCTGGCACACTCTGCCCTCTGTGCTGAACTCTCCAGCCCAGGGGTAGGGCTTCCTTTCACCCAGAGGCCATTCACCATGTAATCCAGACAATGCTCTCTGCCCCCCCCCCCCATAAACCTGCCAAATTATACTTTAATTTGGCTTGAATTGGCTCATTTCATCTGCATAGACTACCTGTCAGGGCTTCTTTTGGCACATGGTTCAGAGGCTCTGGTTTGTTCCTCTGGCTTTCCTTAGTAAGGCTGAATATTATATGCAGGATCTTAAGCAGTGGCAGATAGGAGGTAGGGAAAGGAACAGAGAGGGGCCTTGGACACCACGTGCCCCCCACTCCCAGGGACATGTCCCCAGTGACCTACTTGTCAGAGTTTCCAGAGCCTCCTAAAATAGAACCAACCAGCTGGGGACCAAGCCTTCAGAACACAAGCCTCTTTGGGGGACATTTCGTATCTAAACCACCATGCTATCTTTCTTTGTATTTGTTGATACTTTTATGTCTTTGGGAAATTTTTTGTTAAATTTTTTCCTCATTTCAAGCTTTATTGGTTTGCCTTTTGAATGTTGAGTTTTATGAGTTAGTACTGATTGGTGAATGTTTTCTCCCATTCTTTAGCTAGTAGCAAAAAAATTAAAATGTTATTGATAGTGTTCTTTGACATACAAAATCTGAACTTCAGTCTATATTTTTTCCTTTGATCTATTAAGATCAAACCCTTATGATTCTCACATGTCTTTAATCTCAGCACTCAGGTGGCAGAGGCAGGTGAATTTCTAGGAGTTGAAAGCCAGCCTGGGTCTATGTTAGTGAGTTCCAGGCCCGACAGAACTACATAGCGAGACCCTGTTTCAAAAAACAAACAAACCTCATAAAAAAAAAAAAAACAAAAAAACAAAAAAACAAAACCACAGAAAAGCAAAATAAAGCCCAAACACCAAAAGAAATCAAAGCAAAAACGCATTATGAAGTTCCCAGTCAGGAAGGTGTCCTTAGAAACTTATTTAACAGTTTCTCTTTGAGCTAGGCCTCAGTCCCTAGCGTTGGCTAGTCTGGAACACATGTCTGTCTCCTGCTGCCTCTTGAGGGCTGGGACTAATCATGTGACACTCCAGTTCCCATTTAATTTTGAGACAGGATTTTGCCATCATTGCTCAAGCTTTCCTTGGCCTCTTGTTTCTCCTTATAGTTGTAAATGCTGGGATTACAGGCGAGAACCCTATGCTGTTTATATTTCAAGAGTTTTATAGTCTTTGTTCTTAAATGAGGTATTTGTTGTGATTTGAATTTACTTTTTTAAGTGGTATGAGGTAAGGATATGAACTTAATATTTTGTGTATGGCCAGCTGTCTTTCTGTCCTGAAGCCATTTTTTGAAGACACTAATTGGCATTCTTTTTTTTAAATTTATTTAATTTTTATTTTATGTGCGTTAGTGTGAAGGTGTCAGAGCCCTTGGAATTGGCATTACAGACAGTTGTGAGCTGCCATGTGGGTGCTGGGAATTGAACCCGGGTCCATTTGGAAGAGCAGACAGCACTCTTAACCACTGAGCCATCTCTCCAGCCCCACTGATTGGCATTCTTAATAGGACGTGAAAGTTAATTTCCAGACTGGCGGGTCTGTTCTGCCAGCACATATACTTTATCTTAGTATACGTTAAATGCATAGCCATTAGAATTGGCTGTTTGTTTAATGTGTGTGATGCCACCTCCAAATGACATGATACATGTCAGACCCAGAAGGTATTCTGTGTGTAGGAAATCAGCTTTTTTTTCTTTTTTCTTTTTTGTATAGTCCGAAGAAGCACAGGTTTAGCAGTATGATACTGAACCTATTTTGAAAGGTCCTGTTACATTTAGAGTTCAAGTCTAGAACTCTGTTCCAGCTATATAAGAAACTGTAGGCATTTCAGATTTTGTTTTGTTATAATTTAATTTGTAGTTTTGTTATACTTGGATGATGTCTGTTATTACTCAAGTGCATTCATCTATCTTAGCAGTCAAAATTTTCAGGTAGAAAAAAGATATCTGCCTGTCTTAACAAAAAAGTTGCAGGTGCTTCAAATGGGGGAATGGAACAGTGCAAAGCATGATAAGGACTGCAGATCTAAACACTGCCCAGGTGGGCACTGGCAGAGCACCCAGGCCAAACCTGTTCCTGGAAGGTGTTTGCTGTGAGAACATGAGTACATTGATTTTAATAGGCTCAGGCTTGGGTTTTCAACTTTATTCATATTTCGTTTTGTGTTCAAGATACATTTTATATAGGTTGTCCTCATGCATACTGATGATTTAGAACATAGTTGTTTCACTGAAATACTCATACTTCAGACAGCTGGAGAACTTTGGCCTGGCTCTGAGTTAAATATATTTAAGGATGAAAGAGCATGTACAGTCTTAGGCTTACTTGTTGGTATAAAGTGGTGCTGAAGAAATCCTGCTTGATCTGCTGTCTTTATTTGGGCAGAAAGTAGGGACTGGGGTCTCATGTCAGAAGCCATCTTAAAAGGAGAAATACTGAATTAGGATGAAGCCTTAGATTTTTTTTTTTTATTGGAAATTAATCCTGTTTATGCTCTTGGTTGATTGGGAAACTTATGGCAAATGTCATAGTTTCTCTGGGATCTTAGTTTTCTTAGCTGTATAATAGAGGTAAGGATTGTGTGATTCTGTCTCAATATTTTTTTTTTTTTTTTTTTTTTTTTGTAGACCTGAAAGTAGAATGGTGATATTTTTTTATGGACTGAGAAGGTGAAAGGTGGGGATATGGAGTATGGAAATGGAAAAGGAAGATGTATATGATCTATGCTTGCTCTATGCAGATATGGAAATATCACAGTGAAGCTGATAATAAGGGCAGTTATTATAGTTATAAAAAAGATACTAAGCCAAAAGAATGCAGGCATTTCAGATGGTGGTCCCACACACTCTGAGGCTGCATTCATATTCTTCTTTGTCTTTTGTAGATCACTTACCCCTTAAAGAATTTGTTGGCCTTTCTGGCTACAGACCTTGAATGGTAGGAGTTGTAAACATTTTTAATATTAGTTTAGTATAGTACATTAGGAAGTTTGGTTATGTGAGGATATAGCTACTAATAATTAGAATAAAATTATGCATATTTTCCTTTGCTACTTAGGAATGTATAAAGTTGCAGAGTTATTTGATTTTTCTCAAGCTTCAGTTTCTCAAGGATTTGCTGGGGAATGTTTGAGCTATCATTTTCCACCCATTTCTGCACCACTCTCTTCTCCTACCTCTCCTTGGAACTACAAAGTTCTTGTCATAGGCAGGGAACTTGGCCATCCCTGAGACTTCAGGCTATTGTCTTGAACAGGAATGGAAAAGAAGGCCTTTAAATGTCTAGTGCACCAATGTTTGCTATGTCTTTCGAGAAGCAGAACCATCTTGAATACTCAGAACACTGAGAATTCAGTCCCAGCTCTAGTCCCAGATTTCTGAAGTAGATGTTTTTGTATCATAATTAATTTTGTTTTTGAGACAAGGCCTCTAGCATCACAGACTAGTTTGAAATTCACCATGTAGTTGAAATAATCTTGATTGAACTTTTTCAAATAGAATATCTTTTATTTTCTGATAACTGCATACATATATACAATGGTATCTTGATCATATCCACCCCTAACTTCCCAGCTCTGCTGTCTTCTTCTGGGTGCTCCCCAGTGTATCACCTCTCTACCTTCATGTCCTCTCCTTTTCTTTTGTAACCCACCGAGTACAGTTAGTACCACCTCCTGGAATGTTAACTGATCTTGTGGCTTAATCTTGTTCAGGTTTTCTGCGGGTGCAGTGGCCACACATGTCCAGAGGACCTTTTTCACAGCATTTCCCCCATCCCCTGGCCCTCACATTCTTTCTGGCTCATCTTCCCTGAGTCTTGGGTAGGGGTGGGGCTTGTTGTTGATATAGATATTCCACTTAAGGCCAGATACCCCACAGTAATTTATTCTCAGCTCCTTGACCAGTTAAGAGTGTCTTTATGGGAGCTGGAGAGATGGCTCAGTGGTACCACCTGCTCTTCCGGAGGTCCTGCGTTCAATTCCCAGGTGGCTCACAGCCATCTGTAATGTGATCTAAAGCCCTCTTCTGGCGTGCAGGTGTACTATCCAGATAGAGCACTGACATCCTTAAAAAAAAAAAAAAAGTTTCTTTATAAGCTGCTGCCCACTGCAGCAAAAGACTTGTTTGGCCAACAGTGAGAGTATTTACTAATATGTGTGTGTATATGTATGCATATATATATAAACACTTTTAGAAAGCAGTTTGACATGTTCAGTTAGCAAAATATGAGTCCTAGCTTCCCCACTCCGGCTTTTGACTTCTGGAGCCAGGCTTACAGACCAAGCCTGCATTCCTTTCTGTGGATCAGTCTTTAAATCCAACCACAGAGTATTTGGTTACCCCTATGGCCTTCACACCACTATTGCATCAGTGGCCACGGTTTGGTCTAGCATGACCTTGAAATTCTGATCCTCCCTGGATCCATCTCTCCAGTGGGATTATAGTGGTGCTCCACTGTGCCTATTTTATATGGCTCTTGGGATTGAACCCAGGACATTGTGCATGCTACCTAAGCACTCTACCAACTGAACTCCTTCCCCGGTCCCCAGATTTGATACAAAATGACATGTAATTTGTCATCTTTGTGTATAGTTCTAGTACATGATTTATTTATACCCCAATCACAAGACTTGGGATGTATGTACTTTAAAAATTGTAATTATTTAGAGCATCTTTGACATTCTTGGCAAATTTATGAGTACCCGCTTTTTTGATATTTGAAAATACTTTTAATTTTGAAGTATTATTTCTGTGTGAGAAATCCTTTTGTTTGTGCAAACAGAATTGGCCAAGCAAGGGATTGTAGTCTCTCACTATCTGAGAGAACAAAAGGCTTTTTTTTCTTTTGTACTTAATTTTTTTGTAGCAGTTTTCAGAGATAAATGAATTAGCATTTGAAGGCTCTTATATTTTTGTAGAGTTGAGCCTACTGAGTGGTTTAAGAAGCTGTTAAACTTTTAAATTTTTTTTTATTTTTTAAATTAATTTACTTATTCAGCAGTTATACTCTTAATGCAAGTTAGATGTCTTCTCTGTGGGTTGTATTGAGGGAATCGTATTGGATAAGCCAGCGAGTTCAAAGAACCTTCTTACAGTGTGTATGTGTGTGTGTGTGTTGCCTTAAGGAATTAGCTCCAGGTTTTTAGAAATCCTACCAAGTATTTTGAATTTTCTTGTCCCATATTTCAGGCGTTCCAACATTTCTTAGTTCTAATTTAAAACATCATTTTCATGATCAATATTTTACTAATTTTAGCTAAAAGTCTCTCATAAGTCTGTGTTCTTAAACAATAGCTGAGGGATGGTGTCTGAGAGATGGCTCAGTGGTTAAGAGCACTTACTGTTCTTCCGGAGGATCTGGGTTCACTTCCCAGCACCCATATGTCAGTTTATAACTATTGCAACTCGACTTGCAGGGGATCCAGTGCCCTCTTCTGGCTTCTTGCAGACACAGCATGCACACGGTACACAAGACATACACATAGGCAAAGCATAAATGTAAAATAACAAAATGATTTAATTATATATATGTAATGGTGCTAAGACATAATATTCTTTGTCTGTACATAATGAAATTTTACAGATGGAGTTTTATCATTGAATGATGATGACATTGATGATGACTGTCAGATTCCAAACTTCCACAAATGTGAAATCTGCTTGCTGTCCTTTCCAAAAGAGTCCCAGTTTCAGCGTCACATGAGGGAGCATGAACAAAATGACAAGGTGCGTATTTCCAAAAGGACTCCAGGGTTCCAGAATCCCAGGATGAGGGTTCTGAAATTGGAGGTGGTATAGCATCAGTATCTAAGAAAATTGTAGCTCATTTCATAGTATGTAAACATTTTGGCATCCTTCTGAGAATGCGCTCCAGTGAATATCTGAATTGAAATTATTTAGGAGTAGACAGAGAAATAGCACCTTTGGGTGCCTTAGGTTTGTATACAACTGAATACAGGGTGGTTATTCTGAATGGTTTTTCCTCAGAGGGCATTTTGCTTTCAAGTTGTCTTTATGGCATTCTTGAGGCTTTAAACTCTGTTTCACAGTGGTCAGTACTGTCTTTTTGGGGATGGCTGGGCGTGAGGGTTGTACGTAGGTCTTGTGTGCGTTCAGCATGTGTTTTGCCATTGAGCTGCTTCTTCCAGCCCTATATACCCGTGTCCTTTCAAAGGGAGATCTTGAACCGTCTTATGCAATCCTTCTAGCCATGATATAATGGAAATAGAAAGAAAATGGTGTAAAAGTACAATTAAGGGGGTGGCCAACTTTCCTTATTTAGAGCCTGGAAGCTAGTCTTCTCTCTGGAGAAAGGGGATAATGGCTTAGGTTTCCCTTTTGGATGCTGTCATAATTTGGTGCTGGTGGAAGGCATGGGCTGTGCTTTCCCAAGTCACAGTCTGAAAGGCTGGAGAGAAACACCAGCCATTGCTTTGTCTTTTTACAAGGAAAAGACAGACTGTTTTCCATATAGAGGAAACTGTGGACTGAGAGAAGCAACTGGTGAAAATCTGAGAGGAAAACTTATATAGTTATTTTTCTAGAAGTGATTTTGTTTACAAGTGAGTTTGTCAGAAATGAAAGGAAAATACAACCTAATGGGCTGAACTTTCTGACATTTGTTTTCGTAGTGACTACAACCCAATAGATTTGCAATATTTCACATTAGAAATAGTTTTGAAGTTAGGAGTTGTAGCACATGCTTATCCTAGCACTTGGGACATGGAGGCAGAATGATAGAGCTTGGAATCAGACAAGATAGTGTTTGCTACCATCTAGAAAAGAAAAGAAATGTTCTTATATGTGATGTTCTGTTTGTAATCCTTTGAAAAACCTATCAGAAGTTTCATGACCTGGTGCAAAAGAGACTGTTTTAGAAAGGGAATATATAACTATTCATTCATTCATTCATTCATTCATTCATTCATTCATTCATTCATTTTTTTGAGACTTGGTAGCCTGGCTTTCCTGTAACTCACTCTGAATTTAGAGATCCGCCTGCTGCTGCCTCCTGAGTGCTAGGATTGAAGGCGTGTGCTACTATATCCAGTGCTTATTCTTGTAATAGCATCTTTGGAAAGACTATAATTCAGTTCCTTCGATTCTCTCAAATAGCCACACCGCTGTGACCAGTGCCCCCAGACATTTAATGTTGAGTTCAACCTGACGCTTCATAAATGTACGCACAATGCCGAAGACCCTGTCTGCCCCGTGTGCAACAAGAAGTTCTCCCGAGTGGCCAGTCTCAAAGCACACATTATGCTCCACGAGAAGGAAGAGGTAATTGTCTAACACGTTCTTGTTAACCCACTGTGGGTGCATGTAACCGTTGCCTGGCTTTCTACAGAGCAGATTTTAAAAGCTTCATAGCTTCTTACTTCTGAAGCCTCAGCTCTCTAGAGCATTTTCCTGTTAACAGTGCAGCCCGCTCTACCCACAAGAAAGCGAGAACAACCATGAAGAGAATGTCTGACCCAAGGCTGCAGTGCAGAATGGCAGTGTACTAGAGTATCTCCTGGTGACTTGAAAAGTAACCTGAAAAGGCAGGGATGGGGTGTGGCATGCAAATGTCGGATTGTAATTTCTACCAATCACAGCATAGCTTCCAGGTCCACTAATCACAAAGCCTCACATGAGGACCAATCATAGGCCATGCCTTAAACCAGTCACATTCTGCCACTGACCTGTTTGAGAGTAGCTGTAGGGTGAGCAGGATTATCTGGAATTCTTAAGGCTCATCTTTCTGGAGTGCCCTTCCCAGGCTGGTGCAGTTTTTCTGGAGTGACTGTGATTGGGGCATCTTGAAGTAGAGGCTGTGGCTAGCAGCTGAGAGTGAAGTACTCTTTTGCAGTTGGAGCATGGCTTCTTTAAAGCATCTTTGAATGCCTTGCCATAATGATATCTAATCAGTGGCAGTGGAGAGCCTGTCTCCGTTAAAGGCCGTCTGTTAACCCAAGTGTCAGCCAGTTGGACCCAAAAAGCTTAGCTCCTTTGAAGGAAAATGAACATCAAAGAATGCTTACAATAAAGATCTACTGCTAATATTAGCACTCTGCTTTTCTCAGTAATGAGTATCATGTGTCAAGTATCAAGGAAATGGTCTACCACTGAGCTGTATTCACTGAACTTTTTCTTCCTTCCTTCTTTTCTTCCTTCCTTGTGTCCTTCTTTGTGTCCGTCTGTCTGTCATCTGTTCTTTCTCTCTCTCTCTTTCTATTTTTGAGACAAGGCTGTTTTTTGTTTTCCAGATTGGCCTTGAATTTACTCTGTGGTCCAGGCAGTCTTTGAACATGAAGCCTTCCCTCTTCAGCCTCCCATGTAGTTGGGATTATAGGCTTATTCCACTATGTCTTGATATTAATGATTTAAAAAAAAATGTTTAAGTGGACTTAACCCTTGTCAGATGTCCTAGGCAAGGTGGGAACTCTGTTTTGGAAATGGGAACAGAGTCCAAGGAAGGGCAAGCTCACAGATTGTCCCAACACTGTTCAGAATCAGTGATTGTGAAGGCCTGTGGGTGTGTGGGTTTATTTGTGCTGCCCAACAGCAGACAAGGTTGTGGTCTTTGCAGTTAGGGGCTGTGAGGCAAGTGCTGTGGAAGAAGAAGGGGTCTGAGTGCTGGTGGGAAGAAGGTGAGTGACGAACTGTGCAGTCCAGACTGAGAGGGGACATGCAGGGCAGGTTAATGCTTTGGAGGGTAAGACTAGTGGGGTTGGTTCTTGACGTTCTGCTTATACTCTGTGTTGTGGCAGGGCCCCTTTCCAGGCTGACTGTAAAGAACAGACATGACTCTCCCATGGTCACACTTCTTCTATTTTTGTTTGTTCTGAGATGGGATCTGAGTATTCCATGCTGACCTGGAAATGCTTGTGTAGTCAAGAATGACCTTGAACTTCTTACATCTACTGCAGCAGTGCTAAGATAGTAGGTATGCTCTATCACACCTGGTCTGTGACTGTGGGGATCAAACCCAGGGTATCAAACATTTGAGTAGGTAAGCACTTGAACCAGCTGGTCTACAGACCAGCCCAGCTCTGTTTCATGTAACCCCAGCATCTCTGCAGGACCCAGAACAGAAGTTTTTTTTGTTCTCTTCTGATGTTCTTCAGATACAATCTAAACTTTATTGTGCTTTCCTTTGTGACTAGAAAGAGGGATGGGCAGTCAGTCATCATTTTTAAAGAGACTTTGGATTCTTACATGATATTTTCAAAACCTTGCTTTCATTATGTTTATTCTTTTTTTTTTTTTTTTTTAAAGATTTATTTATTATGTATACAATGTTCTGTCTGTGTGTTTACCTGCACGTCAGCAGGGGGAAACCAGGTCTCATTATAGATGGTTGTGAGCCACCATGTGGTTGCTGGGAATTGAACTCAGAACCTTTGGAAGAGCAGCTAGTGCTCTTAACCTCTGAGCCATCTCTCAGCCCCCTCATTATGTTTATTCTTATACAAACTTCGTTCAAGTTCTTTCCTAGGTGGTTCCTGGGGTGGAGCTTTCCGTTGTTTGCTAACGATACTCCATTTGCTGGCTTCCTTGTTCTGTTTTCCTGGGGTCACCAAAGCCTTGGGAATGGTGCTGCAAGTGCTGAGGGTGTGCAGCAGTGGAGAGTTACCGCTGGGGCGGGAGATGCTCAGTGGTCCCAGCAGGAGCTGCTCTCAGGGAGGACCTTGGTCAGTCCCCAGCACCCATGTGGGACACAACTGCCTATAACTCTAGGTCCAGAGGCTCTGATGCTCTATTTTGGCCTTTTTGAGTGCTGCATGCATGTGGTACATTTCCATACATGTAGACAAAACACTCATATATATGTATGTATGTATATATACATATATATATATATATACACACACGAGTGTTTATATATGTAAAATAAAATCAATAAAAAATTTAAAGTTACTCTTGAAATGTGTGCTTGTGTATAAATTGATTTGAAAATAACATAAAGGGACTATTGTGTATTTATGAAACATAAGTGACTTTTTAGTTTAAGGTTATCTGTGATAGAGGCGTTATTTTTAAAACATTGTAAACAGCTTTTCTATACTGCTCTGTTAAAACTAGTAGTCTCAAATCTCTAGATCAGTACTCTATCAGATTAGTCCAACGAGGGAAGAAAGTAACTGTAGCTTTTAAATACTAAGAATATGTCCTTAAAATTCACATAATTATTAAAGTTACTGTTTTTTCTTATGTTATATCATCTCCTTTACATGGTGCTGTAGGATTTTGGGGGGATAGCAGATGCATTCCCCAACACTTGTCAGACCTAGCAGCTCGTGGGGAGGCTGTGCACTGTCCTGTCCTTGATCCCTGGCAGTTCATATAGTGAATCTTAATGTAGGGTGCATCCTGCTTGTGTAAGGGAGGAGTAGTGTTCTCTGGGGTGAACTGGAACACTTGGTGCACTCTCTGTCATTTTGGAGTCCTTATGAAGACTAGCGGAGACTGGCCTCTGGAGTGCTGGGCCTTGGCAGGGCATTGCAGCATAGTAAGGTTGGAGACATGGGCGAGAGAGGAGGCAGTGCTCAAGTCTAGTTAGGGAGTGCTCCCACTCTGGGAGCTCTGAGGGTGGAGAGCAGCTGTACCTTGGATGCCCTGCTCTTCAGAGGTGGTACACTGTTAGCTGATTAAACTGTGTGTGAGATTTTCCCCGTGACCTCTGTTGGCTACTCAGTGTTCTTGTGGTTACCCAGGACATTCTAGAAGACGTGATACTACCACTGTTGTGGAGGATGCAGTTACTAAGCAGGCGTTGCTCTTCTTGTCTGAGACTTCCTCAGTTATCTCTGGGACATTTAGAGATGGGGAGGAAGGTCCTAGCATCTTTTGAGCAGTCAGCTCAGTAGCAGAGAGGTGGTGATGCCATGTGTTGGCTCTGTCTCTAGAGGGCTGCTCTACCCTTTTTCCATCAGAGCAAGGTATATAAACCAGTGTTCTCACGCAGAGGGGTGTGTGAGTGACGTCCTTGTAGACTGCTGCCAAGAGACATTCATTTGACTATGTGTAAGTGTCAGAGGGAAGGCGGCAGTGTGAGCAGCGGCAAACACAGTCCAGTTCTGTTTTCGTTAATTTCAAAAGCATGCATCCATCTATCTGTCTGACATCTGTTGTGTCTACCTACCTACCTATCTACTATCATCTGTCTTACCTATCTATCTACTATCATCTCTCTCTCTCTCTCTCTCTCTCTATATATATATATATATCATCTATCTATCTACCTACGTATCTACTGTCTATCTGTCATCTATCTGTAATCTATTTACCTACTTATCTATATACTATCTATGTGTCATCTATCTATCTATCTATCTATCTATCTATCTATCTATCTATCTATCTATCATCTATTTACCTACCTATCTACTATCTGTCATCATGTGAATGTATGTGTGGCTGAGTTAAATAGGTGCACCATATGCATTTTTGGTTCCCAGGGAACCAAAGCATCAGAAGAAGCATCTGATTTCCTGGAACTGAATTTGCAGACAGTTGTAAGCCATTATGTGTGTGCTGAGTCCTCTGGAGGAGCGCAGCCAGTGCTCTTAAACCAGTATCTCTCCCGCCTTGTGTTGTAATTTTAAGCCTGGACAAGTGATACGATTATTAATAAAATATAAATATTTTCTTGGCCATTCACATTCATGGGTTGCGATTTTTTTTTTCTTTTTGGCAGTTTCATAGGATAAATTTTCATTATCTTCAGGTTAATAAAAATGTAGATGTTTATTAATTCATTGTTATTATATAATAATGTCAGTTACCTTGAAAGCATTAGATTTTTTTAAAGATAATTCTCTTCATTCTTAACTTTTTCTGTAGTAGAGCTATAAGAACAATCAGTTAATAACCTAATTTTATTGAGGTTTGAATTCAAGACTGGTATACAGAATAATAAAGACATTGTGATGGAAAGAAATAGTGGGGCTAGGGAATCTAGCTCAGATGGCAGAGTACTTGCCTAGCGTGCATGAAGCCATGGGTTCAACCCCCAATACAACATAAAGAGGGTGTTGTGGCATAGGCCTATCATCTTGGCATCCCAGGGGGTGGATCAGGAAGGATCAGAAATTCAAGGACATCTTTGGCTGAATAGTGATTTTGAGGCTAGCTGACATTACGTGAGACCATGCTTCAAAACAAACAGAAATGCCCTTTTGTGATTTGGAACTAAGTGTTTATGTTCATTTACAGAGTGCTCTTACTTCTCATGTTTGGGCGGTTAATTAGGATCATGACATAAGTAGATGCTGCATATGAAACTACAGATTCGTGCTTGCCCTGAAGTTGTCCTAATCCAGCATTTGCCATCTGTAGAAGTCATTATCAGTTCTGTGCTCTTTTTGTCATCACGTCATGTCACTTCACTTTCCTCTACTGTGGAGGCTAGAAGGGAGCACACCACATTCATGTAGTTTGTCACAGGCAGTCCTGTGGTCAAGTCAGACTCAGCTGCACTGTGTGTGGCTAGGCCACACTGTCCACTGGAACGGATTGGAGTAACTGCCTTCTAGTAGCCACATGAAAAATAGGAAACAAACAAAAAACCACCTTGAAAACCTTCATTAAGTTGCACTGTGGTGCACACCTTTAATCTCAGCATGAGTGACGTAGAAGCAGTCAGATCTCGTGCTTTTGAGACTAGCCTAGTCTACATAGTGAGTTCCAGGCCAACCAGAGGTACAGAATGAAACCCTGTCTAGCAAAACTCCAAACCCAGAACCAAAGCAAAAATCTTCATTAATCAGGTAAGATGAAGTTGTTCAAATATCCTCAGATATGAGCTACTCAGGTCCTACAGGGCTTTTTGACAGCTTTAGTCTAGACACAGTTTAAGTCCTGTGGTCTTCTACTTAATACTGGTCTGTTAGCCTGTAGGCAAGACTGAATGAAGAGCTATTTCTACCAACAAATGTGCCACTGTCACTGCCTTTGACAGTGCTCTGTAATTATATTCTTCCCTAGAATTCTTTTCTGACCTTTTTGTGTTGAAGTCCTTCTGTTTCTCTAACGTTTTCACAGAACAGATGGACCAGTTGCCAAGTTGCTGAATTCTGCTCAATTGATGCAGAATTCACTTTGTTTGAAAACTCTGTTTTTTTGTTTGTTTGTTTTTTTATCCTTGTACTAGTAGTAATGATTTTCTGCTTTCCAATGTGGACACATGGATTTTGAGAGGTGAAGGTGATATTTACTCCAGAGGGAGGTATCATTTGTGGACTTAGGTCACAGTGCCATCGGTTCTTTTAAGGAGCAGTGGCTTGGAAATGTTCCTTTTCCAGAACCTCATTTGCTCTGAGTGTGGGGATGAGTTCACGCTGCACAGCCAGCTGGCCATACACATGGAGGAGCACCGGCAGGAACTGGCGAACAACCGAGTGCACACCTGCAAGGCCTGTAAGAAGGAGTTCGAGACGGCGCCAGAGCTGAAGGAGCACATGAAGACTCACTGTAAAGTTAGGTATGGTTCATTCCTCCACTAGCACAGTAGAGACCCTGTGTAGGACACAGACAACTGGCCCGCCGTGCTGTGACTGAGTGACGTGTGTGATGCCCTAGGAAGAAGAGCAGCCATGTGAGCACACAGCGACTTTGCTGTGATGTCACACTTGCTAGCATGTTCAAGTGGAAGTGCAGTCTCTAGGCTGGTATTTGAACACATAATATACTATGGGACAAACCTAACATTTTCTCAGGTTCTTGTATTTACCTATTCTTACTACGGTGGTTTCCTCCCTTTTTTAAGAACTGTTTTTTAATTTACTGTTGACATTTTGATACATTTATATGCTGTGTGTTTATCATACTCACCACCATTCCCTTCTTCCCTACTTCCTCTCTGCAGTTCTTTCCAACCCTTCTCCCTTCTACTTTCATGGGGTTTTTTGGTTTTGTTTTAAATCATCTCTGAATGTAGTTAGTATTGCTTGCATGTCCACGATTGTGGCATTATTTACGGGATCATGGGCCACTTACTAGTGGCTGTGCTCCTGAAGCAAAAGCAGCCATAGGAGCTAACTGTCCACAGCTCCTCAGCTAGGGCCGGGGCTGTGCGTGTCTCTCCTCCATCTGTTTTGGAAAGTTGAATGGCCCAATACCGTACAGATTTTGTACAGTAACGGTATTGTGAGTTCTTGAGTGCAGTTTCCACATCTGGTCTAGGAGATAGGGGTCATAGCAGCCCTCCTCATCCTCTGGCTTGTAGTTCTTTTTTTTTTTCTCTTAAGACAGGGTCTCTCTGTATCCTTGTACTCACTTTGTAGACCAGGCTGGCCTTGAACTACATCCGTCTGCCTCTGCCTCCTGATTGCTGGGATTATAGGCATGTGCTACCAAGCCACGCCTGGCTCTTAAGTTCTAATGCCCTTTTTCCAGTGTTCTCCAAGCCCTGGGTTGGGGAGGAGTCTCTGCTTTTCAATAAAAAATGAAGTTAAGGAGGTGGTTCTGGCATTGTGCTTCAGTTCCTTAATGGTGGTGATCAGTATTTTTTTGTTTTTTGTTTTTGCTTTGTTTTGTTTTTTTTTGAGTCAGGGTTTCTCTGTGTAGCCTTGGCTATCCTGGACTCACTTTGTAGACCAGCTGGCTTTGCATTCACAGAGATCCTCCTGCCTCTGCCTCCTGAGTGCTGATATTACAGGTGTGTGTCCCTGGGCCCAGCTCAATTATCATTTTCACTCTGGTGTTTTTTTATTTTTGTTTTTTGTTTTATTTTAAAGATACAGTCTCAAGATGTAGGCCAGGTTGGCCTCTCACTCATGGTGATTCTCCTGCCTCAACCTCCTGAGTACTAGGATAACAGGTATATGCCTCCATGCCTGTTACCAAGTTGATTTCAACAGACTACTAAAAAGGACAGCATTAGTAATTCTTTAGCAGTTGTATTATCAATTTAGTCTGTCACTCTGCCACGCTGTAACAGTTAGGAAATATGTTTTTGTTTTTGTTTTTGTCTTTTGAGATAGGGCCTCTTTGTATAACAGTCTGGGCTGTCTTGGAACTTCCTATGTAGACCAGGCTGGCCTCGAACTCACAGAGATCCACCTGCCTCTGCCTCTCAAGTGCTAGGATTAAAGGCGTGTACTACCACACCCTGCAATATCTGTTATTTTTAACAAGTCTTATACCAGTTAACTCAAAAAGTTCAGGAATAGTACAGCACCAAGCAGCATGTACTGTACTGTAGGACTAGACTGTAGACAGGAGAATTGAATAGGTGGTTCCCACCTCTTGTTTTTCATGTTCATTTTGCCTGCTGCTGAATGATTCCTCATTATTTTAGTGTCTAATTTGCTTTTATTTTATTATTATTATTATTATTATTATTATTATTATTATTATTATTATTTGATATGGGGTTTTGCTGCACACTCCAGGCTGGCCTTAAACTTACCATCCTCCTACTTCTATATCATGAATACTAAGCTATAGGCATTCATTGCTATTTCATTATTACTGTTACTTTAAAAATGCAATGGGGGTTGGGAGTGTAGCTTGGTTGGTAGACTCCTTGCTTACCATGCACGAGGTTCTGAGTTCAATCCATACTACCACCAGGGTGATGGTGCATGTGTCTAATCTAAGCAGTGCAGAGGGCCAGAGTATTCTCACCCCTCTCCACGTGTCTGTACACATGTGTGTCACAGGCATGCCTTCTCCATGCCTGTGTGTAGGAGATGAGTGGCGGGTTGAGTGCTCTGTTGACAGGCAGTGCTCTCCTGCAGTACTGTTGGTGGCTGCAAGGTGACAAGTTTGAGAGCGTTGAGGTGTTTGAAAGTAAACCCAGCAGCTCCGAAGGTGGATTCGAAGAACCCTGTCTGGTCCCATAAGACTTAAACCTATAGAACCGAGGTGCTTCCACTTCTTGACATGGAAAGAAGCAGGGTTCTTTTTGATATGTTTGGCTGTCACTGCTGGCCAGTCTCCAGAGAGGCCGAGGAAAGAGTCAGCTCTCTGGCTGTGTGATGAGAGATAGACATTTGTCAGCATCCAGGTCCTGTTAGACACAGCTGTAGGGAACATGGACTTGGCAATGTAGAACTGTGTCTGCATGGGCCTCTGTGCTGACTAAACCAACAAGATGTGCTTTAAAAGATGCCTTCTGCCTTGCTCCCCAATTACCAAACCAAGCTTCTTTTTCACCAGAATAGCCAAAAATAAATTTTATATCACTAGAATAATGAATGTGTGCTTTGTGTTTGTATAGTGGACACAGACATTAAAACATTCTGGTGGGGCTGCAGAGATGGCTCAGAGGTTAAGAGCAATGACTACTCTTCCAGAGGTCCTGAGTTCAATTCCCAGCAACCACATGGTGGCTCACAACCATCTATAATGTGATCTGGTGCCCTCTTGCAGATAGAACATTGTATGCATAATAAATAAATCTTAAAAAAACGAACATTCTGGTGACTAGCCAGCTAAACTCTGTGCTAGTATTTTTACTTTGAAACTATAATGTGAGGAGGATGAGATGACTCCATTAATGTGTTTCCCCATATGTCATACCAGGGTATCAGGTACAAGATCTTACAATCGGAACATTGACAGAAGTGGCTTCACATACTCATGTCCACACTGCGGAAAGACGTTTCAAAAGCCCAGTCAGTTAACGCGACATATAAGGATACACACAGGTATGAGAGATATTTGCTTTCAGATGACTTGTTGTGTGACCTGAAGGAAACAAAATGTACTATACTGCTGCTTCAACTCACAGTCTAACTCTGGCTGTTCTGTGCTTTGCTGTACAGCCTTGGTATGGTTAGCTAATGTTTCTGATTTCATTCTCATTTGAAAATTGCCAAGTCTGTGTCTATCATGTAGTCGTCTTAAGTTATAAATGAAAAATGTAGAAAAGCCTTTGGGGTCTGGTGAGTTCCATTTAGCTGGAGTTGGTGTTACGGTGGTTACTTGTGCAGCACCTATAATTAGATCTGGGCTAATTACATCTAAAGAAGGGGACCGGCAGAGGGTCTCTCTGTGCTGTGACAATTTGGCTTTAATGTTCAGGCAGCTGGGCATGGCAGTACAGTCATCTCAGCTACATAGTGAGGTCCAGGCCAGCCTGCTCTACAGTGTGAGATCCTGCCTCACAAAGCCCATCAACCAACCAACTAAACAGCATTAAACTAACAAAAACCTTATTTCTCTGTTGTACCTTCTCTTGCTTGCTTGTTAGGCTTGCTTGAGTATCTGAAATGGGTACAGTATTCACAGCTGAATGTTCTTTCCTCTTGTGAAGGACAGTCTATGCTGTTGTAAATAATGCACATGTTCTCCTCTAGAGAAAGATGAAGAGTGGCAAATATTTGTGCAGTGAAAGTAAAATAACAATGATCCACGCTTTGATATTGTTTCTGTTCTCCTGATTTACATTTCATTTACAGTGAAAAGACAATGCGAACTTCCCGCTATTTGGTTGGCTACTGTGCTTGTTGACCAGTTCTGATTATGCTTTGTTGCTTTTTTCCTTTTTTGGTGTCTTAATGAAATGTCTCATATACTGTATTGTAGAATTACTCAGATAATTTCTTAGCTTGTTTAAATGCAAGTATAAAGTTGATATTTTCAGAGGTTCATTCTTTATACCTTAGAGCAAGAAAAAAGTGCTGTCTTTCAATTGTTGGCATAGGGACATAATTCAGTTGGTAGAGCACTTGTCTGCCACACATAAAACCCTGGCTTTATGCTACTTTATGTAGTTTATGTTACTTTGTGTAGTTCATGATAATAGACAAACAGGTTGTTGTGGTGCATGCTTGTAATCCCAACATTTGGAAGGTAGAGGCAGGAGGGTCGAAAGTTCAAGGGTTAGTAGGCATGGTAATGCACTCCACTAATATCAGTGCTCACAAGGCCCTGCCAACAGTGGGGAGACTAGACAGAAGAGACGCGTAATGAAACCCTGTCTCAAAAAGAGGACAGAAAAGTTGAAGGTCATCCTTAACTACAGAGTAAGTTTGAGGCCAATCTGGGATACATGAAACTCTGTCTCAAAAAGAAAAATGTGATAAAACATTGTGTTTTAGAGTCTTAAGGTCTAGTTTATCTTCCTTGAATGAAAAAAAGCTTGAAGGGTGTTACATCTCTTAATCAAAGTAGGAACACAGAAAGAAAACAGAGTATTACACAGATTTCTCAGACCTTACATACTTTTTTAACAGTTTGATGTCTGCCCCTTTGAGATTGTTTTTCTGTGCCATCCATAAACACATACATCTGGGAACAGTTCACCACATACACACTTTATGTGTTGTTATACTTTCATGTGATCTTGGAAGTTCACATATATGTTCTCCTCCTGGCATTGAGCTTTTGTCACACATAGTCATGCTGGCTGCGCTCTTGAGTTCATGCAGTGTTGGGGAAGGCATCTTCCCTGTAGTCCTCAGCATCTTGTTGCTAGCCTTCACAGCTTGAACACAGGTAGGCTGTTAACAGTGCTCCTACATGGGAGGCTCGCCTGTTCTCTGAGTGGCCTTTGCATGGATGAACCTCACTGAGCATGTGATAATGAAACATCATCTTCTGATAGGCTACCTCTTGAGTGCCTGAGCTCCATCCAGGACACACAAGGTGCGTTAGACAGAAAGTCTCTCTGACAAGGACACCCCATGCAGGACCCACAGTTCTTCCAGAGCTTCCTGTGTATCCCTCCCTAGTGACATATCTTTTCTCCATCATGCTGTCTCACTAAGTTACATGACCCTCAGGTCAGGTAGAGCAGTCGGCATCTATCTGAGCATGAGTAAGCCAGACACTGAACTTGTTATTCATTCACTGAGTGAATGCCTGCAAAATGCCAATACATGTGAGGTACTGATGTTAGAGTCATGGGCAGGACAGTTAAACTCTTCCATTCTTGGAGCATATATTTTAAGAAGTTGAATAATAAGTGAATTGTCAGAAGTTAGTGATTACAGGTCACAGGGAGAGAATTGAGCAGAGATGGGGAGCAAGCATTACGGGATAGACATGGAAGATCTTGAAATCAACTGGAATTGGTTGAAAAGTCTTGCAGGTGATACTGTGCCAGGGCCAGAAGAGCCACAAGGGAGTGAGCCGTGTTGAATTCTCAGGTAGGATGGGCAGACAGAGGGGACAGAGACCTTCTGTGGAGCTATGCCAAGGGAACAGAAGAAGGTTCAGAGAGCATGTGGAGTAAGGAGACCAGCCAAGCTAGCTGAGACTGAGAAGCCGTGAGTCATTGAGCAAACCAAACTTGCTGTGATCTCATTCAGAAAGAGTTTCTCTATAGAGATGAGAGCAGCCCATTAGGGCCAGGTGGAAGCAGCAGGGTTGGTCAGGGATGGATGGGCCTGTGCCCTGGGGTAGGCAATAGTTTGGGACAGGGAGCAGGACTGATGTGGAAGGAAGCAGGCTGTGAGAGAAAGCCGTGGAAGAATGGCCCGCTGTAAGAACTGCCATGGGATTTGCTTGGAATATGGAAAGTTTTGTCTGAGACAGTTGAAATTTTAGGAGACACTTGTAGTATATGAGTTTAGAATCTCTGGGAGATGTTTTGGCTGGAGGGAGAGGTTGGAGTTTTGTGTTTGAGTACCTTGAATGTTTCTCTCACTCTATAATGCTCACACTGTGATTCTTTTTCTCTCTGGCTAGGTGAAAGGCCATTCAAATGTAGTGAGTGTGGAAAGGCTTTTAACCAGAAAGGGGCACTGCAGACCCACATGATCAAGCACACAGGAGAAAAGCCACATGCCTGCGCCTTTTGTCCTGCTGCCTTTTCCCAGAAGGGGAACCTGCAGTCCCACGTGCAGAGAGTCCACTCAGAGGTGAGCATGGTGTGGGGCTCTGAGCACTGTCACAGTGTTTGCAGCTGTCATTTGACTCAGTGGCTAGCCTGAGAAATTATGTTACAGTTTTGAAAAGTGCAGATCGACTTATGTGCCGTAATCTATCTTAGCAGTCGACCTTATCCATCGATGGGAGCGTGTTGTATTGTTGACAAGTCTTGGCTGGTATGGCACTCAGCCTTAGCTCAGGCTGACCTCACATTCAGCAGTCCTCTACTTAAGCTTCCTGAGTTGGAATTGCAGGTGTGCACACCGTACCAGGCTCGCTAGTAAATGTGCAAGAAATACGAAATCCTATCTTGTCCTTTTACTTTCAGGAAATGTTTAGAGAGATAATGCCTTTGTTAGGTACGAGCTGTTGACTGTGAGCATCCAGTTAATAAACGTGAAGTAGGCACTACCGAGTGTAAGAGGCTGAAAGACAAGAAGTAAGAAGACAACAGAATGCACTGTCCTTATTGCAGGCAGAGCTAAGCCAGCGCTTGGCCCTGTGGCTCTTTACACAGACCTGGCTGTGCATTCTTGCCTTGCTGCGTGGGTCAGCTCAAACGGCTGCAGCTGGCTGTTGTCTGTGGGTCCTGCTGAACTGTGGAGCTCCTGGAAACATTTCTGTTAAGTAGGTTGACGTTTGTGTTTAGTAGCACTGTGTCTGTTAGATATAATGTTGTAGTTAATAGCATAATTATAGAATATAAAGGAATATTTACCTAACAGAAATACTTGTATCATGAATCAGTTTATTATGCAATGAAAACTATCAATTTAAAAAGCAAAAGATGTATTTTTAAACTCTTTTTCATGGAGTTAAACCTATACCACCTTAGTGACTGGGGAGCTAAAACACCTAATAAACATTGAATGTCTGACACCTGTAATCTCAGCAACACTCAAGAGGCTGAAGCAGGAGCATTGAGAGTTTGAGGGCAGTCTGGGCTACTTAGCAAGATTTTGTCTTAATAATGAATGACAATAAAAACCAAATTAAACCCAACAGAGCCCCCTTCCCTTTTAATAAACACAAAGGTAGGGTTCTTCCTGAAGTGCCTGCTTTGCATGAGGACCACAGTTCAGTCTCTGGAATCCACATGGGGTGGGGGCAAAGCATAGTGGTGCATTCATGTGAGTTCATTATGGAAGGAGGTCTGTAGGGCTTGCTGGCCAGCCAACCTAGCTGAATCAGCAAGGTCTAGGCCATTGAGAAATCTTGTCTCACACACACAGTGGGTGACTCCTGAAGAGTTGTACCTAGGTTGTCCTCTGGCTTTCACATACAGATGCGCACACACTCAACACTCACACACACACACACACACACACACACACACACACACACACACACGACTCTCAAACACACAACTCCCTCCATCACACACATGCACACAGGGGTGGGGGGGAGAGAGAGCGAGCGCCAGTGGGCAGATGTTAGTTCTTGGAAAAAAGATATGAAATAAAAAATGACAAAGAGCTTATGTATTTTACATAGTTTTAGGGAAAGATCCGGAATCTTTAACACATGAAACAGTGGCAAGGTCAACTGACACATCATAATTTGGTCTCAGAAGAGTACATGGGAGCATCAAAGTTGTTCTTGTGAGTTGCCTTTGAGTAGAGTTGGTCACTTAGGAACAGTGGTAAGTTTGTGTGACATATATTTGAGAAATCCCTTTCATTAAGGGACCCATGTTAGGAGAAGCCATGCAGTATGTACAATGGGGGCATCTTGGGATCGCAAAAGATGCATTTTAAAATATTACCCAATCCTGTGAGAAGTCCATAGCATTGAATTTGGTGCTGGCTGTTGTTGTTGTCATCCTCCTCCTCCTTCTTTTCCTTTTCTTTTTGAGACAGGGTTTCACTATGCAGCTCTGGTTGTCTTGGAACTCACTATGCAGCCAGACTAGGCTGGCTCAAACCCATAGAGATCCATCTGCCTCTGCCTCCCAAGTGCTGAGATTAAAGGTGTTTGCCACCATGCCTGGCTTAAATTTGCTTCTATTATGGTACTACAAATAGAGTGGAATCTTTTTTCAGGTTAGAGATGACATGTACATTTTCCAGCCTGCCTGGTAACCATGGTGATAACTAATGTTAGGTTTGAATAATAGAGAATGTTCTGGATACATTCTCTGATCACAGATGTTCTTAATCATTTTAATGTTATTTGTAGTGTGCTTCTGGCTTAGCTGTAGTTGTAAAAGGTAATCATGGATGGGTCTTACATTTGGTGAAATTTAGAGCTTTTTAAATCAGTCTACCTGCTTGGTAGGCCCAGAAGCTCAGTGTTCAGAGTGATACTGCCAGCTGTGCCCAGCCTTCATTGGGGACACAGTTAGCAATCTACGAAGTTGAGAATAGGCAGCCATGAGTATGCTCAGGCTACAGAAGAGGCTGGCCTCTAGTGTCCTCCACTGTGGAAGAAAGAAGGTCTGGTTGGACCCCAAGGAGACCAATGAACTCGCAAATGCCAACTCCCATCACAAGATGGGCTGACCATCCGGAAGCCTGTGACAGTCCATTCCCAGCTCCCGGGCTGGAAAAACACTATGGCTCCATGGAAGGGCAGGCATGTGGGCATAGGGAAGCAGAAGGGTACGGCCAACACTCGGATGCCTGAGCAGATGACCTGGAGGAGGAAGAGGAAGAAGAGGAGGATCTGGACTTTTCAGGAGATACCATGTACCCAGAGGACTGACTGCCATATGTATCACAGCCTGCACCTGGAAGTCAAGGGAATGTGTTCAAAAACAAGTGGATTCCCAAGGAGCATGTCCACAGGCTGAAGGCGGACAAGGTCTGTAAGAAGCTCCTGGCTGGCCAGCTGCGGCGCCTCACAGGTCTAAGAGCAAGGAAGCACTGAAGCGCCAGGAGGAGATCTTCAAGACTGTCCAAGGAGGAAGAGACAGGGAATTCAGCTTCCCTGGTGTCTATACGTAGTAGCCTGGCAGTGGCCTCAGGTGGACCAGTCATTAAAATAAAACAAGCCTTTGTCTGGTAAACAAACAAACAAACAAAAAAGAATATATGATGACATTTTGAAGTTTAAATTACAATAACAGAGAAGTGAGTCTTTATTCCTAGCCCCTCCTCATGTAGAGAAACACTGACATTTCAATTGATCCTAATTGATTAAAGAGTTGTGTCATTGATTCTCAAGCTATCTAATTTAAAGCAAAACAACAACAAAATACTCCAGTACTAGTATTGTATAATTATCTCATTCTGACTGGACTGCTACATTTTATTTTTTATTGCTTAAATATGTTTATTACCTAACGATTTGAAAAAACTATTTTTTCCTTTTTTTTTAAGGTAAAAAATGGGCCTACCTATAACTGTACAGAATGTAGCTGCATATTCAAAAGTTTAGGCAGCTTGAATACTCATATCAGCAAGATGCACATGGGTGGACCCCCGAGCTCCACAAGTTCTGCGGAGACTGCACATGTCATAACGGTGAGGCTGAGGAAAGAAAACAAGCCCCAAGGCTCATTTTACATAGGAGTCTTTAAAGTATTTAGTACAGAAATCATGCGTAAAGTTTTCTAAATAATGTGCTACTAATTTTTTTTTTAATAAATGAAAATTAATCTGTCTGAACTTTAGGGTAATGATACATAGTCTTGATTTATGGCTTGTCATCTAAACCTGTAAAACTATGAAAAATGTTTCAATAATTTATGGAATTCAATTTCCACAGTCAGTGCTATTGGTAACCATTAAATATTGTTTCTTTACATTATAATCCAAGAGTTAATCTACTTTGTTGATAATATTTCTCCTTTTTTCATGTGGCAATGATAATTTCTCCTCAGCCTTATAGCTTTTGGAGTACCAAATTCTGCTTTCTAGTACATATATTTAGAAATGGAATGACTCTAAATACAGATAGGCATACTTAGACATATTACCCACAAAACAAACAATCCCGCAAAAATACATACATGAACACATACATTTTTGCATGTTTTTTCCTAAGTTATAAAAACTTCGCTTTGTTCAGTAACTTTTACCATATTTTATTGATTGATAATAAATTGCAAATAATAATAAATATAATAAATTTATTATATTATTATAATAAATTTATTATTATTATTATTATTATTATTATTATTATTATTATTATTATT